AATTTTGCTACTCGATGACTATTACTAATAGTCCCCTAGTAGCGTAGCCAATCAAAATGCAGGATTTGCATTAGTCCACTAGTTGGGTGATACTAATGCCATTTATTTCCTCTTTCCTAAGGCAACCTTCACAACTGGCTTTGAAACAAGCTAAGATTAACGTGATGTTAAATTACTTGGTGGTCGGAGTCACTGAGGAGTTGCAAGATTTCCTTTCCGTCCTTGAGAAACTTTTACCGGATTTTTTCACAGGTGTATTGGAACTATACAAAGCACCAGGTTAGCATATCAGTTGTTAAAATAAGAGAAGATTGAGACACATAACGAAGTACGAACTCCAAAAAGGTAAAGATTCTTGGCCGGGGCGGAGGGTGGGGAGGGGGAGAGACGACAACAAATATTTTTCTTGCTGCTCTTTTTTTAATCAATCTGTGAAATACATAGGCTTAGAAACATTCAGTTAACTTTTACTCTTCACAATGCCATTCGTGTAGTTTTTCTCGCAGCTTTCTTGCGTCGTTGCGTCTGCAGCTATTTGACCGCGTAGTTATTTTTATGCTGCGCCCCCCCCCTCCCCCACCTTCTCTCTCTCCTCAGGCCAAAACGTTGCCACGTTATGCACGTTGCTGCAATCACTACGGCGGAGGTTTTTTGAAAACGCAGCTTTATTTCTACGGTTAGGCCTAAAGGCCTATCGTCCACCCTAATCGAAGCTTTTCGAAAACGCTCTTCAAACCGGGGGAATCTGAAAACTCCAGCTTTTCCTTTTCGTGTGGGAAACATTTTGAAAACGGAGCTTTACAAATACGATGGCTTAGGATTATCACGTGATTTCCATGACCGAGTTTTTCCCAAGCACAGATCCAAAATGGCTGGGGGGTGATTGTTGCGTTTTTGAAACTCCTCCGGCGCAGTGTGGACGGAAAACATTTGATGTGCTTTCATAGTGTAACCTCCGTTTTCAAATTCCTCCCGCGTATTGTGGACGAGGCCTAACTAAGTAGTGGACTAAGTACAATGTGTTTACCAAATATCTTTGCATCGATCGGGACACGTTGCAAAGCAGGCATTTCAAGACGCTGTTGAGCAAATCGTGGAACTCTTGTGGCAACTAAATCGTAAGACCGTAATTCAACTTTAAAGGGCAAGCACCACTTTCTTTTAACAAAGTGTGATTGTTTTTTGTAGGCGATGTGCTTCAGAAAGGAATGACAACTACCAAGACAGCGAATAAAAAAGGACCCTCTCCGAAAGTAGCAGCGATCGTGAAAAAACATCTTGAAATCGAGTACGACTTTTACAATTTTGTGAAAGATAGGTTTCATAGACTAAAGGCTGAACTAGGTTTACGAACTGCAGCTTAGAATTAGTAGCACAGTTGTAAAAAGACATATTTATGATAATATCTGGAAAGTAAGGCGTTACCTATAATATATTATTATATTAAAACATAAATTTGATAAAGTATCATTCATGTAGACCCTAGTTCAGTCCCGCGAATTGTTCTCAGCTGGAAGTAGACGAGCGGAGAAGAGGCGTCAAAGGGACTGGGGTAAATAACGTTACCGCAGGAGCTGGTTACCGTTAAAACCAAATTAATCAAATAATAAAAGAATCAACTAAATATAATTAACAGAAATTATTTATGCATCAGTTATATTTTATATACAGTTTGCTCCCAAGAAACCAGACAAAATTAATTTCTCGCTCCAGCCAAGGTACTATTGAAATTAATTTTAGATGCTGGTGCTGATTCCCATTTGAGCTCATATTTTGATTCTGTTTAGTGATGTCATCGCGCTGTCCATATTAAAAATGTAAAATAATATTAGCCGAATACGTTTATGATGTAGTGTATCTTATGCCCACACCTGGTTGAACACCTTGTCAAAGGTTCAGAAGTCCACAGTTAAACACATTCCTCTGCCACTTCTTCCCGGAGAGGGCACCTTTATTAAGAGTGAAAATTTCTTCATACGCCGGAAAATGTCGTTCACTTGCAGTTACAATTATCCTACAAAAGGGAGGAGGACTGGGTACTAGCTTTGGTCTAGGAACAACCAAGTTTTTACTTTTCCAATGAATTAGGCATTTTGATCAGAAATTATAACACTGCTAATGTGATGAAGCTTGGAGGAATGAGCAATTTCACAGGATAGATGTATTACATTGGAGTTTTGAGGACAGAGATTATCGCAGTTATCTGTAATGTAAAACTTAGCTGTCATATAGGCTTGGGATTGGGATGGAATTAAAACCCACAATCTCTGAAGAAAGTTAGGGTGTTCTTAAATGCAGAAACTGTTTCATCAGTCAAATTCTCATGAAAAGACATGAGGTGTGGGTCTTAAAGGAGCTCACTCACGGTTTGCACATTTTGAAAAGTTTAGCCTAAATTTTTTCAAATTCGTTGTTTGCAATCCATGTCAATCTTCACCATCTTATTCCTTTATGGTTTATTATTGCCTCTTTGACGTTTTTCTATCTTAGTAAACTATTATTTTCAGGTTTCCTTCCATTAAAGGAGATTTTGTACATGGCCAAAAAAAAGACAAAACACCACGTGACTGGGCTCCTGTAAGCCCCCAGTCCCCCAACCCCCAGGTCAGAATGGTTAAATCCAAGACTTTGCAAGCTGCTAGAGATTATATTTTAAAGCCTTGTAAAAGGAAAACCAAGATTGACCTTAAGACCTTTAGTCTGTGAAAGCCTCTGTTTTTTAGCTCTCATTCCATGTATATGAAAAAAGAACAGAAAAACTGGATACTCTTGCAGGCTGCAAAACCACTCAATTTACTAAATTTTGACTCAATGAAATTTGATAAAATTCTATAAGATGGCCAATTTACCATCCATCCAGTTCTGCTGTCCCTAAAAAGACCTTTTTGTTGGGCTTGCGGTATTATGTGGTGGGCTTATTTTCCCAAGAAGAGGCTGCTTATAAATCAAAGATGTTAAATTACAGAAAATTAAAAGCAACAATGTGGCATGCCAGCATACTAATCCCATTTCACTGAATATCTTTAAGGTCAATTGTTTCTAAAGCTTTCTTTCGCAAACACTGAATTAATTGAACTAATTTAATCGTAGATCTCATGCTCTTGTTACCAGAAGGAATATGGTTGAGCTTTTAATAGAAGGGAATTTTCAGCAAGAGGAGTTTGTTTGAAAAAATAAACCAAACCTGCATGAAAGACTATGTGGAATGTAAAGCAAGCTCCACTGACAGTTGTGCCAAGTAAACCCTATACCATGCTATAGTGGAGCTTTGACAATGGAAAAAATTATACTATCCTATTAATTTGACAGAGTGAAATCAAATTAAAAAATTCTAAAAAATTCCAGTTAAATCCCCCTATTCATTGAGAAAAATTCCTCATCCATGATTTTTTATCTAGAAACATTTTCTTCTAATTATAATTAACGCTTACTTGGGAAACCTTCTTTTGTATTTTATGTCGTTATATTACGCAAGTAGAAACTAATGGCATAAACTTGACAATTTGTTTCTCTTCAAATTGTTGGTATCCACTTTATTAGCAAGTCCTGCCATGCAGATAGCAGTGTCCTTGTATAAACCTTCTTATCGGAGACAAAATTCCTTTCAGAAATAACTTAGAAGTCCAAATATTTAAACACAATATTCTTGCTTATAAAATAACCCATGCTTCTGATACATCTTACATGTAAATTTATTACGTAACTGACGATGGTCACGTAACATACAATTTTGAGATTTTAGAAACAAGTGCAGTGAAGACTGTGGCCCTTCGTAATATTTTACTGATTAGGGTGGCACATTTGACAAGTGATTAAGGTTGAAACACTCGCGGATTTCCGTCAATTTCGCAGAAATCCGTGAACGTAAGTTCGAAGACTGCACCACCTTGTTGGCCAGAGCCAGCACATATTGCAGTTAGATGTACCCTTCGTGGCGACAGAAGACAATTTCTGGAAAATTCGTCCTTTACATTTTAAGTAGCATGTATGAACTACCCAAAACTCTTCGTCGAAACCAATATTTAAGTTGGGGCGGGGAGGAAAGCACTTGTAGATCGTCACTACTTATACAGCTGCGATGGGGTCAAACAGGTTGAATAAATATGGGAACACTAGACCATATCAACGAGTTCCATCTTTTGTCACATTGTGCTCCTAAATAATAACTCGTTGGCCCTCCCGCTATGCATAATGTTGTTAAAAGCGAAAGTTACGCTTCACGTGCTTTGGCCATCACGTTTTCGAAACTTCTCGAGGATCTTGAACCCGTTTTTGAGGTGAAACAGATGTTATCGCAAAATTAATTAACGCGATAAAAACAAGGTATTCGAAGCGTGCGCGCATTCACGAGTTGGCATATTCAGGCGTTATAAGTCGTCTTCTTCTTTAATTTTGCTCTTTAATTGCGTTAAAAGATCGTGGATTGATTCCATAGCGATATTCTTTGCTTGTTGAAGCCATCGTATTCCAACGGCGTTGATTCGGTTCAGTTCCGCTAAAGTTGCGACGAGTAAGCCTCTTAGCACTATGAACTCGCGACTGTCCTTGCCTCCTGAGAATTGTTTCACTTGGGTTTGTAAGTCTGAAACGCGACCCGATATCGATTGAATCGCAGAAAAAGAGCCAATGCTGTCAAACAGGGCGTCTGTATCAACGTCTGAAGAACTTTCAAACGCCCCAAAGGAGTTTGAACTTGCTCCTGATGACGCACTATTTCCTTCGTTTGAGGTGGCCGTTGACGTTGGTTGTGTCACTTCCGGTAAATCCGAGAATAAAATAACACGTTCTTTTGTGTGGTTCTGTGAGTTTTCCTGCTTCTCCTTCGATGGGAATGCTTCTTGATCTCTCTCGTCTTTAGATAGTTTAAAAAGGTGGGTGACATCACTCGGTTCAGGGCTGAATGCGGTCTCCATATCTTCCTCGCATAGCGAGCACTTACAGTTCAGAGCATGTCCTCTAGAATTGTACTTGCTTTGAACATTTCTTTTCTCTTCAAACTGCTGATACCAAGGCTTATTCCACTCTATTTGCCACGAAGGGATTTCATAATTCGACGAAGTAAACTGTGGAAGTCTGTCTCTATCGCTACCGGACGCCATGTTTTTGAATTTTATAAAATAAAAACACGAAATAAAACGATGTCGTATGCTAACAGACACGTGTATACCCTCGCAGCTCACGCGTATCAAATCTAAATTATTTTCTAGAAGACAAACCGGCGGCAAAGAAACAAATAAACCTTACAAAGGACAATTACAGTTCGAGAACGTTCAGCAATAGTGACCACAGCGGCTCGTGTGTTGTGGCATCCAGCTGGGAACAGATTGGCAGAGAAATATAACTCGGGTAGGGAAAGTAAAAATTGTCAGTTTACTTTCAGGAGTAAATAAACAGCCATTTTCCCCTTAGACATCAAAATAAGACCCTTTTTCTTTTTTAAACTTATATTTTTAGAGCTTTGGGATAGTTTTTCTAGACATAAAGTTATTTAAGGTGCAAATATATTAATCTGTGACCACGGACACGAACCCGTGCACTCCCCGGCTCGTCCAAATAGTTTCTTTTACGGGCGGTTGCATAGCGATTACTGTTTCTAGAACCTTCGATTGACTCTCGGGCAATGAAGACAATTCAGTTGGCGAAGGATTTCGAAACGGCTTAGTGTTCAGACTTTTCCGCTGAGAGTTGCACTTCTGATTAACTGCCATTCAGTTGAAAGAAAAAAGGTGATTTAATTTCCCGGTAGCCTAGTTTAGAGCGAGTAGACGACGTATATGGGGAGAGATTTCTATTCCGTTCTTGGTGTTCCTCGAAATGCCCCGTCCGAAGACATCAAGAAAGCTTACAAAAGGCAAGCTCTTCTATTTCACCCCGACAAGAACAAAAGCCCAGGAGCGGAGGAACAGTTCAAGAAAATATCTGAGGCTTACTCGGTCTTAATAGACCCTGACAAACGACAAATATTCAATGCTTATGGCGAAGAGGGGCTGAAGAACGAAGGCGTCTTTGGTTTTGGTTACTTCCCGGATCCTGTGAACATTTTCCGCGACGTTTTTGGTGACGATCCCGAATTTGCATTCACAGGTTTGTTATTTTTTTTTTGTCGCTTTGCTTATAATTTCCAACCTTCGTTTGCCTTAGATGGCTTTAAGTCGCCCATTTTCCGGGCTTCCAAATGATATCTTCAGGGATGGACCGATTTATAGGCTAACTCGAGTGCTATAAACGTTCACTGAATTCAGCAACTGTTACATTGTACCAAGAGCTTAGCTTAGTTAAGGCTTCACTTTTCTAGTCTCGGTTAGGTCAGATGTACTTTGGGTCTAGTTTAAATCTCTGAATTTGTCCTTCTAATAAATACATATTACAGAAAAGCTCCGTCATGAAACTCTTGAAAGGATATCTGCTGTCCGTTTTTCTAGAAACTTCTATTTTCGATCATGTTTATATTGGATGAGTTTTGAACCAGTAACATTGCGATTTTAAAGCCTGTGGCTAACTTTTATTCATTTAGGTCGTGTCGAGTATTAAAATTTATTGAAATTGAGGGGGAAAAAAATCAGATCCAAGAGTAGGACGAATTGGTCGAATTTTGGCGATCAAAACAAAAGGCTGTTTGGCTTTTCAATGGCCGGCTTTGTAGCTTGCGGATTAGCATTTTAATCTGCATGGAATCGTCACTTTCACGCACTTTCTTGGTTTAACACCGGTATTAAGGTATACTGCCAGGTCATTGTCAAACGAACGTATTACTATTAATTTTCTAACAAAAGAGATCATTGCGAAAAATCGGTGATGTGGAACACTATCCCGTGGTCGTACTCATCTGTTTTGGATTGTTTACTCACAAATATAGTTGCTTTCTTGAAATTTTTGGACGTAGCTAGTAAATTGAACACTTAATTGATTTTGACTATAAATTCATGGCTTCCATCACAAATTTGGTCGCTACACACTTTGCGTGCTTGTCGTTTTTCATGCATATCCAATTTTTCTGGAATTTTCTGTCCGCTAACATGCATTTTTTTGTTTGGCTGTTCGCTTTATTTGTCAAAGGAAAAACAAATCTCTTTGAATTTGGCACTCTTTTAAACTTTTGCCATAATCTAGTTTTGAATTGGTATGCTTCTGAAATCCTGTTTTTTAAATAATTTGTATGATATCTCTCATTTCTACCATAGCTTTGTAATTGTTTCAGTGATACAATCTATGAAGGGGTGTGAAAAAAATAATACACCTTTCAACGATCCCTTGTTACAACCTTCCTCCCTCTCAAAATTTTAGGTTAAAAATTATGATCCACTTGTGAATTATGATAGTTGTTACACCATTTTAGTAAAATGAGAGAAAACATCGAGCAAATTTCAAGTGATTGTCATGAACATTTTGTTATGATAATGAACTGTCAACTGAATAAATAACTTCCTTATTCTGGAACCTTCCATTTTTTCTGGGGCTTAAAGCATGTTTCAGCTTGCACAGGACAATAATTGCACTGCATGCAGTTCAAGTCACTGTTCATTTTTTAGTTCCTCAAAGACATTATAGTCTTCAGGAAAGTGCTTTTTACAGTTAAAACAGTTCAGTCAGTTCAATGAGAGATTGATTCTCTCTGTCCCTTCTGTAGATCCCTGTCGGAATAATAAGATCAGCTAGTGTTACGACAAATCCACTTTGTCCTTGAGTGTTTTTATATTTGCAAATCTTTGTACATGTATGGCATGATGCTGCAAGATGGGTATTTAAACCAATGAATTGTAAGCAATATTATGATTTTAACTAGAACAGTCTTTTTTTGTTTCCATATCTAGTGTTAGAACTTAACTGTTCAATTAATAGTAGTTGCCTTATCTTTGTTTTCCTGCAGCGATAATTTTAGTCCATACTTCCTGTGTTTCATCACTCAGAACCTAAAAGCTGAAAGTCTACAGGCTTTTTCAGTTACTACAGCTTGTAACTTCATAGCACCAATTAATTGATTGTATATTTTTTCTTCAACAGACTTCTTTGACGGCTTTACCTCAGAGTTTGACCGCATGTTTTCTACCTCACGGTTTTCTTCGTGCTCAACTGGCTTCAAACGTTTTGGTGATGATGATTTTGACTTTCCCTCTCCAGATCCATCTAAAAAACAAACTGTACAGGATCCTGCCATCGAGACAAACATCCAAGTGAGTCTCGAAGAACTTGCAATTGGTTGCACAAGAAGACTGAAAATAAGCAGGCAGGTCTTAACCCCAGGTGGAGGGACCTCTCGCGAAGAAAAAATTCTTGCGATAGAAATAAAACCAGGCTGGAAAGCAGGAACGAAAGTAACTTTTGAGCGACATGGTGACCAAAAGCCAGGAGTAATACCTGCGGACCTTATATTTGTTATCGGGGACAAACCACACCAGTACTTTAAAAGAGATGCTGATAACAATCTACTTTATACTACAAAAGTTAGTCTGCGTGATGCCCTCATTGGCTGCATCCTACCTATTCCAACCATTGATGGGAAAGTATTATCTGTACAATTAAATGAAGTCATACAGCCAGGAGCGCAGAAAAGAATTCCTGGTGAAGGTCTTCCTCTGCCAAAATGTCCTGGAAAAAGGGGTGACATGATAGTGACTTTTGATGTAGAAATGCCAACAAATTTGTCAATGGAACAGAGACAGCATCTGGCGAATTTAGTATGATAAGACTTGTAATATGTTAGATGTTATTTGAACAATACTTGAATGATTCCTCAAAGTGGCTGGAGCAACCACTCTATTTTACTCAATATTGAGGATGGTGTGAGAGACAACTCATGAACGGCATTACACTGCACTGTCAAGTTTGTCAAAGTGGTGGTACAGTATACATCTTGTCAGTGTTATATTTTCCAAATGGTATTTTTATGTGCTTCCATGTATTAAAGTGTGACCCTGTGTTCAGTAACAAATTTTACAGTTTCATCTATTTGAGTTTAAAGGTGGAATACATTTATTATTCCATTTTGAACTGTGCTAAAGTTTCTCTTTGTATATACAAAAACTATTGTCTTTTTTCCATGAACAATTTGTCAGTTTTAATTCAACTTGACAACCATGCAGTTTGTTGTAGCTTTTTAATTTGATCAAGTTCTTTACAGAAAGTGTATTTTAACAGTTTTAGTCAAATTTGTGTTTTGTAGCCAGTGGAAGGGATAAATACATATATAAAGAGAGACAGGACATTGAAATTTTAAAGGATAGAAGTTGCGTGATCACAATAATTATTGTTCCTTTGACAAGCAACTCGGCATTTATGCAAAGGCGAAACCGTAATTTATAGAAAGGGTATGATAAGTCGACAAGGCCATTGCTGCTAGCTGCGTTTTGAACACTGATAGGGTCAAGGAATAGGGCTTCACTGTATAGAAATAATATATACATATATTTATCAATATTGATTGATGATTTGTAGAAAATCTGAAAATTAATATTCGTGGGAAAAGCGGGTTGTACAAATATCTTATCCAAAGTAGTTATTAATGTGGCATAGATTGCATATTTGCAAAATGCCAATAGGTATTGCTGTATAGTAAAGTGTGTGAAAATGGAATTTCTAGTGCAATATTTTGCATCACAACTCCTCTCATTATTACTAGATCAATCTGACATCCATAACAGGGTTTGCGCTTTCCTGAATTCCTGGGAAACTGCTGAGATTTTATAGTTATTATAAAATAGCAAATGAAATTGCTATCATAAACTTTACCGCAAACACTTAATAGGTCAGTTGATAGAAGAGCATAATTTTTTTATACATTTACAACATAACATTTCTGAGTTCTGGGTCAGACTTGAAAATTTTATATTTGTACCCTGGAACACTCTTGGAATTCCATTTCAAATCTGACTATTGCAAACTGTGCTATTAGCTGTGAAAAGATCTAGGTGTCTTGTTTTGCAGCTTAGCACGTTTTCAAAGTAACAAGAAAATTACTCCAGTTAATAGAAATCTAGATTTGGTTTGATTTGTAAGTAACATTATGTTTTCCAGTTCTGCTTGGTGTTTTCCAGCAGCCAAACTGAGTTTTCAGTTTTAATATGTAACAATGCATGTACACAATAACTGCATTTGCATAAATAAATTATACTTAAATTATTTTGTAGAAAAAATAGTCTGAGCTTGTTATGTGTGGTGTTAAAAGTGGTGAACTCAAAAGAAGCCATGTTTTCAAAGTTAGGCACAATTTCTCCTTTATGCTACTGCAAATTACAGTTTGACCTCAAAGTTGTAGAAGATCATACCAATCTTACACCCTTCTTACCCTCTCTGCCTAGTCCCATTTGAGAGGATAGGGTATTGCCACATGAAAGTAATTTATGGTTGATTTAGAGGAGTGCCAATTCCATTAACGTGTGTTCCCCTCCCTTTTCGACCCTCTCTCAACACAGCCACTTTTGCGCATTTATTTTGGATCTAGTTGCTCCTGGCTTTAAAGTATTTTCTGTGCCTGAACTAGGGTCAAATCAATGTCTCTTGGCTGGCAATAGAGTGTTATTCAGCCAAAGGGAAGGGGACTCCAATATGAATATGAGAAGAACATTTATCCAAAATTTCCAGCAGGCCAGTGGCATAGTAGGCCATGGTGAGTAAATTTTAGAAGAAATGTGACTAGCAGTCTGGCCAAGCGCAAGTGTAAGTTGAGTCAAGTAATTGACAAAAATAATAAAAACACTGAGTGAATTTCCTGAAGCAGGCTTGGCCCAGGGAAAAGAACCCTAAGAGGTCCCATATTATGAAGTAAGTGCCAAAAAATGAAATGGCAGGGGAGGGGACATATTGACACTTGTCTGTATACAGGGCTGCTGCTGACACCCTCCATTTCTAGGAATAGGACTGGGTGGAATTAGAGGATACCTACAAACCTAAAGTACTTTCTCATCCTGAAATTTATTTCAAGATATTTTATTTGATTTGACTGACCACCTTCCAAAGACTGGTGAATGTCTGTGATCTCAGCTTGCTGAAGACTGTTACATTTAATGATGGGTCTGTTTGGTATTGGCACAGACCCTGTCCAGAAGGAGGCACAGGGATGTAATTGTTATCCAAGCATGTGGAACTCTGGATCGAGCAGTCCAGATTTGAGCTTGAAGGCCAGGATCATTGCAATGTGTACTTGGTCAGTTCTCTACTTTGACAGTGCCACTCTCCACCCTGGGGCCCATTTCTCAAAGGTCCTGAAATGTTTTCACACCCAGAAAGCCCTAGCAAAATCTCAAACCTTATGATTACAGAGCTGTTTTATTCGCATATTCTTAGTATGAAAAGAGGTTCTCTTCATACAAGAAGTTCCAGGCGTATGCAACTCTCTGTTTGTAAAAACACATTAACTAAAGCTGGCTTTTCGGGCCGAAAAGTTTCCAGGGCTTTTGAGAAACGGACCCCAGGATTATAAATGGTTACTGGCGTTACTCCTGGCATGGACTATCATCCAGTCCAGGGGGAGGGGGGTAGAAATACTCCTAGCCTTTTAATGCCACAGAAACTGACCCAAATTAGGCCCAACACAGACTTTAAAGACTCAGTCTAATACAGACTTGTACAAATTGTACACCCAGTTCAGGGCAGCAACACCAAAACCCATACCCTGTCAGGTGGCTTGTCCAACATCAGAGTGCATCATATAAGGGAATATCCTACTCAGGAATGGTACATACCAAGAAGAGAATATAAGTGGTACCAAAAAGTAATCTTTAATTTTGCCACCCACCTCCCCCCATCTCCACTCCCTTACTTTAGTATACCCATGCTTTATCTTTTTTTATCTTGTATAAAAGTTTATAAGTTTTATTTTTTAGGGTTTGTCTTGGCACACCCCATCTGGAGTAGGTTTTTTTGCCAGGGTTTTTTTACACCCTCCTCAGCTGAAACAGCAAAATGTACCAATTATTACAGTTTGGTCACAAAAATGTGTCAAGTGTTCCTAGTTGGCTATTGACCCCAATTATGATCTCATAATTTGTCATGAGCAGGGGGATATGAGAGGATGAGCTCCCGGGCAGGTGCTCCCCAAAGTTTTTGGCAGGGGTTACTTAGGGCTGTCAATAATGGTCGTGATGCATTACACCTGTTAAGTCTGAGTGTGGTTGATGGGCCCTTAATGCTACTGGTGAACTTGCTAAATGTTTGGAAAAATAGAAAAACGATCTCTGGTTAAAAATTTGTTTAAAATGAGCTTTCGACTACCAGTCTGTAGTCTTCAATGAGGGCTAAATGTTGATGCAGAAAAATACTAGTTCCTGGTAAACAAAATATGCAATGCCAATCCAGAGTAAAAAAATTCCCAATTTAAGACCAAAATGATCAAAATCCATGCCCCTTTTCAGGTCAAAATGGCTTAAAAACTATACACTTTGGGCCGCACATACCTATATAGACTGTACAAGGGAGAACCCCTCCCCATCCCCCAGGATGAGCTCTTAAAAATAGAGGAAGTAAATTGTGTAAAGTACTTACGATATTATTTAAATTCATTAACTATTAAACGATTGCCAAGTTCAGGCCAATAATACTAAAATGAGGAAATGGGAACATAAGTATGTACTAGAGAAAGGGCCAGAGTCACAGAAATGAGTTTTACTTCTGTACTTCAAGTGAGAACCCTTCATCTGACTCCCAGAGTCAAAGTAAATGCAAGTCAGTTAATTCAGCTTTTGAACAGTATATCATCCATGTTTTGATGGGCTTCCTGTTTTTCACTGACTTGCAAGTTGACAACTCTTCAGTAAGTGACAGGATAAATGGGGGCTTAGTCTAACCATGTCTCACTTTCCTTCCTGGGGCAAAAGGTGAAGTTTAGGAAACAAAAGACATCTGAGATACCTTTCCTTTGAGGCTTCAGAGAGATGATAATGGGTGGGTCCAGGAAATATGTGTACCCAGTGAAGCCAAAATCATAATTTGGAAATTCAAAGGGGGCAGGGAGGGGGTTACATGCAATAATTTTTAAAGGAAAGCATAGAGTCGACAGATGAGGTGTTCAAAAGTCTCATGTGGGAGGGGTATAGATATTTTCTGAAAACAAATATGAATTTTACAGAAACAAAATTTAGAATTAATTCTACAACAAACTTAAAGATAATTTCCCTGAAGTAAAGGAATAAAGATTAAGCTTTAGGTCTGAATACCTCAGACCTCAGTTTCCTTCCTGGTTTTGAAAGCTGGAAAAGACAGAAGGAAATGGGAGTTGCCTACACTTAGGTTTAAATATCGAAAGACTCCTGGAGAGGATTAACCTGTACAAATTTCAAGACCAATTCACAAGCTGCCATTTATGTACAAAAGCTGTCATACCAAAGTTTAGCTCAAATATAACCCCTTGCTCGCTCAGGATTGGCAGAGAAGATTGTGAAAGCCTGCCCATCAATCAATACTCAAGGATTTGCAAAAGAACAGACCTTTCATGTCAAATTTAAGAAACGAAAATATTTTTAATGTAATCAGACTCTTGATATTACTACATGGACATAATATATGTTTAGAAATATATTATTAGAAACCAAAAGAAGCTCTTGGCCATTTTTAAAATACTATATTACAGGTACATGAATAAATTATTTACCATGTAGGAAAAAATTCAAATGATATCTTTTTCTTTCATCTTGGTAATATATCCAGTAAAATGTCTCTCTGAGCGGAAGATAGTTCATCTGGAAAACGAATGTCATATTTGACAATCAAGTCACCTCGCTTGGTGAGATTTTTGGGCAAGGGAAGGCCTTCTCCATGAATGCGCTCGGTTGAATCTGGATTTACAATGCTGTTTAATCTTAGTCCCAATTTTCGTCCGTCAAGAGTAGGAACTTCGGCTTGTCCTCCAGCCAGGGCATCTCTTAATGAAATCTTTGCAGTGTAGATTATATTGTTGTTGGAGTCCCGCGTGAACTGGCTGTGTGTTTTATCTTTGACAATGAACACAACATCGGCCGGGACGACTCCAGGTTTGCGATCGCCTTCCTTCGGGAAAGTTATTTTTGTTCCTGCTTTCCATCCTGGTTTGACGTTCACCGTCAGTATTTTCTCTTCTTTTCTGGAAATACCACGCCCGTCGAGAACTTTCCGAGATATTTTCATCTTTTTCGTGCAGCCACTCAGCAGTTCCTCCAGACTCACGAACAGATCTTTCTCGATTGCTTCATCCTGGACTTTTTGTTTCTTTGTTTGTGGGGCCATGCCATCGAAGTCGCACATGAAATTTCCCATCCCATTTGCTCTCTGGCCTGGCTTTCTACCTCTGCTATCATTGAAGAAGCTAAAACCCCCAAGGCCGCCAATGATGTCGGCAAATTCGTCGTCGTCTCCGAAGGCTCGGGCGAAGGTGTCGCGTGCATTTCCACTCGTGAACACAAATGTTCTTGCGAATCCTGGTCCTCCGCTACCAAAATTCATGTTCATCCCATTGCCTCCACTCGGTGGAGCACCGTGAAGTCCTTCTTCACCGTACTTATCGAAGATATCTCTCTTTTCCTTATTACTGAGGATATCATAAGCTTCGGAAATTTCTTTGAATTTGTCTTCTGCTCCCGCACTCTTGTTCTTGTCTGGGTGCCACTTCAAAGCAAGCTTTCGGTAGGCTTTCTTGATTTCGTCGTCCTTAGCTGTTTTAGGAACGCCAAGGATTTTATAGTAATCTCTTCCCATGGTTTCGCCTATAACTCAGCGCTATGCAATCTTAAAACTTCAATGACGTGAACTAGCTATCTAAGACAAGTGCTTTATATATAAAATTCTCGTCACATGCGCCGAATGCTCTGGAAAGTGCCTTCAAAACAAACCTTTTAGGGGAGGGGAGGGCATTTTGTCCCACTCGATGAAGCTTGTTTTCAGCGCCATTTTTCCACCGATAAAATTTAAGAACCTGATTTAAAACCCTTTTCCTCGCTCCCTTAATTCTCTGAATAAAATAGTTAATATGACTTATGCAAAATCTTGCCGGATTATAACGCAATGACTTTGAGAACAAGCGAACCTCTGTACCCTCCTCTGAGAAGATCCGAGAAATTTCGAGGGTTTTCCCGAAGGTTCTAAAAGTTTCTACAGAAGCACATTTTATAATAGAAGTGACCACTTTCTAGCGTCTTCATCACGTTTCTAGAAATAGTGCTTGATTGCCTATAAAAGAAACTGAATCCTGCATAGCATCATTTTGGTATAAAACATTCACTGAAGAAGAAACAACAAGACTGAGAAGAACATTGAAGATGCGGGGAGACCTTTTCGGAGATCCTCGGGCCGGCAGTTTTCCACGCGTTCAAGCGACTGGAAATCCCTTCGACGGTTTTGGTGGGTTTTACGGAGAAAGACCTCGTTCGTTTTGGGAAGATCCCGTTTATTTTCCATCTGAGAAGCCAAGAAGAGTTTCCAACCGGAAGAAAACGAGACGGGTAGTAGAAGAAGATCGACAATCAGACGGCGAAACAATCATCCCCACGCGATTCTTGCACAGGGAAAAACCCTGGGACAAGAAAGTGAAAAAAGACGGAAAACAAACTTGTCCGTCACAGCTAAAGTTATCACAACACGCCAGGGATGTTCCCATTCCTATAGAGATTCGGTTTGGAGAAGAAAATGGTCTGAACGAGGGGTTCGCGGAAACTTCTCTCGAGGAGGTGCATTGGGATGACAGCAAGCAACTTTCAAGAGATCAGACTTCATCTGTTGAACCTCGATGTACAGAGAAAGAGGAGAAAGGTGCATCAGACATAAATCAAACAACTGCTATTGCGGATGACTCTCAACTTGAAACAAAAACCGCCGAGAAACAGAAGTTCGACGAAATCGAGAGTGTATTAGCAAAAGCGAAGGAACTTATCCCACGAGTTGAAGCTTTCAAAGGATCGAAGCAAGATAAAGAATATTTGTACTTGGAAGAACACTTAACTCGTTGCCTTCTTAGTTTAGATTTAGTCGAAACAGATGGACAAGGAAAGTTGAAATCTGCTCGCAGAGCGGCGGTGAAGGAGATTTTGTCCATTGGCAATGATTTAGAAGCGCGTGTCCCTGAGAAATTAGATAATTAACTAAAATATATTTTTTTAATTTTGTACAAAAGCTTTTCAAGGTTGTTTAGAACTTTCCCTGATCGTGTGAATAAAATGTCTGATCATCCAAATATAAAATAGTAGAATAAAAGTACTTTTATTATTTTAGTATCGAGAGCATCATAGTTTTATTGGGTAGGGACACTGAGAAGAGTCCTAAACATAATTATGCAAAGATAAAAATACATTTAGTCACGCAACGCTGTTTGATTATTAGTCCCTTCTCGACGACAAGAGAAGACTACATTGTACCTTTGTGTCACGTTTGGAGAGATAAAAAAGCGAATGCAACTTAAGATTCCCATTTCATTTTCATTTTCTGAACTTTAGCAGAAAAAATTGTTGCTATGAAATCTCGTGAAAAGCACGAACATGGTGTTACCTTTTCTTGGAAGTACTCCCATATCCTGATGAGGTCGACCCCCTCAATGATTTCTACGAAAAATCCGCTCTTTTTCCAAGACACGAAACATCTCAGTGCGAGTTAGCGTGTTGAAAGCCTGATTCAAGCGCGTGCCAAGCTTAAAGCCGAATTCCTGTCCGGAAATTGAAACTTGTAAAATCTATAAACATTGATGATATTCTTTAACCCCTGTGATGCAATACTCTCTCTGATGAAATCTGCAGTTCTGAAAACCATCGCAACTCTTGCAGATAACTGGCGATGTATGTATGAGATAAGTCTTCAGAATGGAAATTAATGATGGAAATTTTCACTGTATACTTATTTCTGTTTCTCTGTGCGACGATTTATAATTACGATCGAAACGTTTCAGAGGTTTAGAGTGGTTTAAGGAGGAACTAAAATATTAACTTCCTTTGAGGATTGAATATCAACTACTGCCTGTCGAAAAATTACTGCAGCTTATCAAGTCATGTATGAAGTTATCCAAGCGTGAGAGTTTTATTCTTTCCCTCAGATGAACTGTATCTGGCCTTTGTTTTGTACAAGAATAGCCCACCATTTACGTTTAAGTTTCTCGAGAGAAATATTTTCCTTAAAGGAAACTGAACAATGAACGACTTCCTGCGCTTGGGAACCTCTCTCGTTAGCTGATAACAATGTAAATAAACTTTTCTACTGATTTGCTATCACCAAAAACATCCGCTATTTCTGTTCGCTTTTTCGTTCACGCAAAACAGCTCTTTCGTTGTGGTTAAAGGATCTATCGTTTTCCATACAACGGGAAATGTTTTTTTTTTTTTTTTTTAATCTATTTCTTTGCTGTATCTCCAATTCGCTTAGCACGCTTTTCATTCCCAACTTGAGTGAATATGCCACCAGTACCGACACATTTTCTTTGTTTCACCGGGAATTAGATTTAATACTGGAAGGCAGGTTTTCATTTTTGAAAAATGTTGATGGAAAACAAAAGCAGCAGTGGTAAACATTTGTGACAGTTCGCCCAATCTTCGTTTTTTCTGTTGCATAACCGAAATTTCTCGAAGTATTTATTTAAAGCATTGGCGACCTGGTCCCAGTGATTTTGACTCATTTTTTCCCCACAGCAATTTCTATTTTTTATTGATTTGCCGTATTTTCAATCGCGCAAACGATATTTTTCGTGATTTTTACATCTCTTGCAAAGTGCCTGAAGTAGATTATTATGCAAATTTACAAGTTCAATAAACCCCATCATCTTCCGCGGTTGGCTCCACTGGTTATATACTTACAATTGTGAAGCAATTTCTAAGCAGCTGAGCTTTTCGCTCTCTGGCATACAATAACTGTAAAATAATGTATTTGAGGTTCGTAACACCTTGCAGTTACCCTATTTAATATTACTCTTCTGCTTTCCAATTTCCTCTGCGGGTCGGCTATATGACATGACGAAACTATGCTAAGATCGAGGAAGTCTTAAGCATAATTGTTGACAGACTAGTAATATTAAAATGCAAAATATCTCACACACGTATGAACGCTAAATCAGCTCTCGCAGAAAAAATCCGTCGTTTCAGGATTCTCAGGGGTATCTCTTGTGAGTACCCCTCTGCGATGAAGTTCCCGCTTTCGCTTAGAGTCTTCTTGCTGTAATACCGAGTCTACTATTGGGTAGACTACTTGCAAATGAGGGGCTGGCACAGGTAACGCAAGCCTCGTTTGATCATTAACATTTCCAGGAAAGTTTGGCAGCCCCGCTTGCGAGTAAGTAGGTAGGTTAAGCGCTCTCCCTTCTTTTCTCTCACGCATTAACACCATTTCTTTATCCTTCCTTTCTCGCTCGAATGCGTTCTTATATAAGTCCACTTCACGGGTAAGTGTCGATATGAGCTCTTGGCAGTCAGTGATTTGATCAGCAAGAGCGGAAACTCTAGTCTCCGCTTTTTCTTTGTCCTTTCTCTCTTTCTCGAAGTCAGCTTCGTAAATACTTAGCTGTTCGATGTAAAGTTCCAAATCAGAGTTCGAATCATCCTTTCCAAGCGCCTCTGCTAGTCGCAGTATCTCCGATTCTAACACTGTTTTGTGATCTTCCAGAGTAATAATCTGCGCGCGCGACTCACGCAAACTGTTCTCGAGAGATTCGATTTTCGCCGCGAGATCTTCCGCTCTACTTTCTTCGCTCGCACTAGCGAGGGAATTAACATTAGAGCAAGCGGCTGACTCGTTCCCTGTTATCTCGCTTTCCCTAAGTCTTCTTCTTAAATCACAACATTCTTCTTTCAACTTCCTTGATAACTTACGCTCGCTGTCCAGCTCGGCGTTCAGTCGCCGTTTATCTTTGAGAAGTGACAGTACGTACGCGTTTGTCCTCTCTAATTCGCGTTCGGCGCTCTTTCCTTTCGCATCTTTGCAGTGTTCCATTGAAGTTGTATGTCTTTCCTTAATTTTCCTTATTACCTCAACATCTTCGGTGCGTGCTCGCAACTTGACGGTCGCTCGCCTTAAATGATGACTTTTATACCATTGCGGAAGTTATAGCAAAACAGGAGAATTTATTGGTCATGTGACCGACCTGCATATGCCGGATGACTGCCGAGCGCGCAATAAATAATTTTCTCAGAAGTAGGGTTTTCCAAATCTACATGTTTTCCCTACTCTGTTTGCAAATCTTTTCTCTCCTAAACCAAAGCTAGTATGAAATTTTCGCCCCTTAGTTGTCTATGACCACAACCGCGGTTGCGATAAGCCGCCCTGAAAATGGGTTGTCTTGAGAATTGAAGAACGGAAGATCTGAGATAGAACTTCCTGTGTGATGGAAATTTATTTATTTGCCGTTGTTGATGTTTTGCGCAAAATATCACCTCAGAAATAGACTAAGTCAGGCGAAATGGCTGAGACAACTCTGTATATTTGGTAATAAATAACAAAGCGTCAAATTTTTCTCTGCACACCCCCGGTTCTTGACAGTTTGAATTCTGCTGGACATCGTAAATCAACATTGAATTAGCATTGAGTCGAAGGACCTTTAAAGACAACTGCGATGATGCAATAGTTTATGTGACAAAAAATAATAATTTTATTGTAATAGTATTAATTCAAAGTCACTCCGTGTTTGTAATATTGAATTTCTAAAAATACATTCTTCATTTCGTTGGGAGTTTTTTTTCCTTGCTACATGAAGTCCCGTAAATAACTACGCTGAATAAATTTAACACAGGCAAATAGCTGTTCATGCTTTGATAAGCCTTCCTTAACTGTGTGTATATTTTAAACCCTTTCCTAATCAGTGCAGCTGACGGAATTGGGAACTTTTAGCTAAAGGAATATGAAGATGAGGGAAGTTGGAAATGAAATGAGCGACTGCACGAAACTGTGTGAGTAGGGGGTAGGTCATCGATATATGCGGTTACCTTCAGTGACCTTCAGTTTTTTAAATACATTTTTACACCTACTGAAACCAAAAGAAACCTAACCGAAAATAAGCCTGTAAAATTCTATTTGTTTATCATGAGGTGGAATCGAAGAAAAACTTCGACCGTGCTAGAAATTTTGCTTCCATATGCAAGCTTGAATTGCATATTTTATAATTAAAGCGTTACGCTTCCTCCCACTACTCACGTTTCACGGATTTCCCCATACGAACTGCATCATAAACCCGTTAACATGCGTAGGCAGTGTAATTGCAAAAACCGTAAGGTTTCAGCGCATTACAGTTTCTAAGACGATAAACTAAAATAAGTAGTACTGTACCTGAAAAATTTCTACAAAATAGGAGCACGCGCAAAAAAGCCCCGTGACTACCAGTGTGAGGAGAACGCACACGTTTCTAGCGCAGAATGTGACATATGTATGCTCTGGTTTAAGGCGCTCACTATATATATAGATAAAAACGATTAAATTATTTTATCACAGGAAACTCTTTGTTCGAACGTTAATTCTTTGGCTAAAAATATTAAAACTATACTAGTTCCCCACTGTCTAAGCGACAGTCTTCGACAGGTAACATTATAAAAAGATGATGAAAAAAGAATCCAAAATAAAAATACAATAACACAATAAAATGGAATAAAATTATGCGAATTATGCAAATCAATTTAAGAATTTTTTAATTTTGAGGAGTTATTCTTTTTTCTAAACAATATTAATCCAACTTTGCTGCCAGAAATTTAAGTGTCTTTTTATTACATATTCACGAATGACTTCGATTCATTTTAAATTTTGGGTAAATAATGATAAAACTGAAAAACTGCACAGGACGATGTCTTTTTGGTATACCAATTATATCAACTCAATAATTATTATTGCTTCACAGGCATAATCTATGATTCTACAGGACCTAGTACTGAAAAATATATATTGTTATTCAGTTGTGAAGATGCGCAATTGTCTCTTCAGTGAGGCTAACCGGAAAACGATTTTCCGGCTAAAAATAACTCGATAAATATACAAAAAAAGGATTAAAAGAGCGCACAACCTGAGGACCTGTTTTTTTAAACTCAAAAGTCGTTACTGTTGTCGACCGAGGAAGTGACTGGACTCCGGACCGGAATCAGCGGGTCTTCCTGTGATGCCGCCAAGATAGTGAGACACACTTGACCCCTTTGTTTACAAATATAGCGGGCAACCATCATAAAAAGAAGACAACAAGGGCAATTTAAGGGATATTAGACGTTTAGAACATAAAAACTATACTAGAGCGAAGATATTCAGTTTTCCCCATACAGTTACTCAAATAGCAAATAATCAATTTCAGCAACAGCCTTGCAATACACAGGGGCCATTATTTATGTCGAGTTGTGTGGCAACCTACAATCAGAGCATTTGACCTTTCTAAATATGGCACACTGGAGTAAAAACAAAGCGAGATCGAAAACAACATCCGCGTTCTATTGTATTTTTATTGTTGATGGTGTATGCCGTGGACTGCTTTGGTCTTCCCTTCACAACCTACGCTACGTCCGTCGCATCTTAGCGCCATAAATTATTACTCTTTTACCTTAAATCAAGAATTTATTTCTAATTAACTTTTCGAACTGCACAACTCCTTACCAACCGAGTCAAAATATACAAGCCGCTCTAATTGGCATACTTACGTCAGTTGACAGAGAAGGTCAGTGCTTATACTTCCTTATCGTAATCCAGAATTTTTTTTTTGTTTTATATTCAGTATTAACTGAACTTTCATATTTGTGTTTCTTTCTTTCTGGGTACTAGACTAACATTGTCGTTCAGCGGAGCGTCTGTCTACCTAGATTCTCTCAAAACATCGAATGACGAAGGCAAGTGCAACGACATAACAGGAGTTTCCTTGTTTGTTTCCCTGAGGTAGATTAGCACTCAGCAACGGTATGCGATAGCCTGCAAAGCGCGAAACGCGAAACACGTGCGCGGAGCGCGAACACGAGCGCGAACAAATGTTCCACGCAGCCATAATGAGCGAGCACAGCAGCCCCGCCCCCACTCCAGCAAAATCATCGTTTGCGTTTGCCTGTTGAGAAGCACTCAGCAATGTGTTTAACAATTCATACGCAAGAATTGAAAAGTGTCAGAACAAAAGGAAAGGTAAAAAATGAATCACAAAGAGAAGTTAGCCTAGAAATAAACGCGATGTCGAACGCGTTGACAGCATTAAAAGGCTCGTGTTTTACATTTTTTTCACTTTCGCGAGTTTTCGGGCGGAGTAAATTGAAAATTCAAATCAGTCACTTGTGGTACAGCTTCTTCCTCTGGAATGACTCCACCTACACCCACTCGCAGGCTCTACAGTGTTCCTGTGCGAGTGAACACTGATTTTTCCTTTCAGCTATGCACTATGAACATTTTTGACTGTTAAGTTGTAACCTTTTTTCAGCAAGGGAACTAGACGCGTGGGAAATTAATGGCGCCCCTCCGGGTACAGTATACATCTTTCGTCTCCATGGAGAGCGATTCAAAGGCCAACAGTTCAACCACCCACATAAAATCTTCCAGAAACTGTAAAATAGGCGGGTAACTGTCTGGGACTCATGTTAATTTCTTCCTTTTGCAGACAAACTGTCACTGGCATTTCAATGTTATTTTTGAGCTCAGTTTTCCTTTAATTGGTTCCACTTCCGTGCGGCTCTGTTTGGGGCCGGTTGGTACGTCTGGGGAAAGATCTGTAGATGCCCAGTGGAACGGCTAGCAAACACTGAGGGAAGAAATGAGTGTTTCACAAAGCGAAGTCCTCGCGTTTTCTCTTTCAGTCCCAAAGAAATTGTGCATAGCGAAGCTTAAAGTGATCTAGGCCTCCAATACTTGATTTGCCACGAAAAATTACAATTAGCTTCCGTTGTTCTTTCCCATCTCTTCAATAAGTCCCATTTGTAAACAAAACGCCCACTCAAATACGAAAAACATCAACGACAATTTACTTTCACGTTTTGAATAAATATTTATTCGCTAGGGCATTTTCCTAGAAAGCCTTAACATAATTTACCTAAAATCTTACGATATACTAATATTTTAACGCGGAAGGATCTTAGAGCGAGAAAAAACTTCCGTGATCGCAGATTAAAGAGGTGTTAGACGGTGTAGTTCCAAATCGCTTCGCACACATTACATCGAATGGAATAAAAATTGCAACTTTTACCAACACACAAAAAAATAACATTATCTTATCTTAATATGAAAGTCTACCGCAAGTAAATTTGTGGAACTAAACATAAACTAAAAATCCACGCCAAGTATATCTCACTAAGCGCTTTAACTTATAACATATCGCAGTTACTTCACCAGGAAACCACGCAACCGCATAAATAACGACCATTCACGGAAGCTTATAACCTTCTTCTATTATTTATACACTAAGTCAGCACCTCTGAAAATATAATTGTTTATCAAATTTAATCAGATATTAATTTAATCTCCACGCCCCTTCTACAATGCCATTTTAATTAGAAAACTATTTTTGGCTAATCTTCCCTTGATCGATTCGTTGTGACTGAGTTGAAACTTGACCACAAATACAGTGCAGGGGAGGAGTGGGTGGACGGCAAGATGAAGAGGTCGTGCACGTGAATGAATACATTCAAATGTCTAATTTCCCATTTCTAGTTTGCGAACGTTTCCCTCAAGACTAATGTACGGTACACGTAAAGATTTGCCACTGATTAGAATAATTTTCTGCTAAAAATAGCTTTATAGCAGGAAGAGTGCCTCGACCACAACCTAGCATAACAGAGTCGAAAATCATCACACATAATGGCCGCTCTTTCCTGTAGTTCAGACACCCGAGATTGTCTCCTTTCTAACCGCTCAAGAAGCCATAACTCCCATAAGGCTATTTGAAAAACACAAACACAGCTGGTGAAATGTGCTTCACGAGGCACAATTCCCTTTGCTATGCCCCTGTTAGTGTAACAATCTACTAGGACCAGTAGTAATAAAACAGGCACGGGTAAGTACCTGTGCTCAAACGTCGATGTCTCTTGATACCAAGGAATAGATGTGTGGCCAACAGTCCCCTCCCCTCCAGCCCAAATGAACCTTAGTGTGGTACCCCCCCTCCCCCTGGTCATGTATGCTCTCCAGTAAAGCAGTTTATCCTACACTTTGTTTGAACACAAAAAGCACCGAGTTTTCTTACACTAGGCGCTTGCGATCAGATTGTAAAGTTTCTACAATCAAGTGCACATGAAATGGTTTTTGCTAAATTTAATCTCATTGAACTGTGAAAGTGAAATATCAGACTTCCCAAGGCAAATGCTCAGAAGCATATTAACTTTTGTTAGAACCTTTCCTAGCACGTCTCTGACACATAGGAAAGGTAAGGTTAAGTCTGCATATGAGCCAGTTGGCATATCAGGCCAGAGCTTATCTCGGTTGCTGTAGCATGAAGCGACTACGAATATTTCTACTCCCCCATAGATGGGATGCTAGTCCATCACAGGATTACCCCCAGCATTAAATTCGTCAGAACCCATTTGTACACCTGGGTGGAGAGCAAGTGGGGTGGTGTTCGAGCACTGGCCAGGGACATTTTGTTGTGTTCTTGGGCAAGACAAGGGATATCTGAATATTTCTTGGTGATGCTGAAACCATTGTTGGTTTGGAAATATGTTTTGGGGTGGGTAGTGTTTACTGTGTTTTGATTTCCATTATTGGTGATTGCAGCACCAAGAAATTGCCAGTTGAACGTATTGAATGTGTCTATGATATTTAATTCTGCATAATGATTTCTGTTTTGTAAAATATCTTAATTTAAAGTACAAAACTCTAAATGGAGATTACTTTCTGTTCACTTCGTTACTTTCAGGCATGTTTTTTGCTTCAGTTTTCCTCGTCACTGCTGCTGAAGTTTGATTTTTCTTTCTGAGAACTAAAAACAAAGGATGAAATGTGAGAAACACTTCTTCCACCAGCTCCAAAGGTTGCATCAGACATGGTGTGTACATGGAACTAAAAGTCTTGTATTGATTCACTGCAAGGATGAAAGTAAAGCATAAAACACAAGGAAGTCCTTAATTCACCTTCTGAAGGAAATTCCACATTGCCCAAAAACACACAAAAAGAACCCCCACAACATAAATTACTTTGAGAGCAACTGCTGTAAAAAGCCAAAAAATTCAACTTTTGACATTTTATCCCAATGGCCTTGACTGCAGATCATTAAACTTGACTCAATTTCAAACTCTAAAATCAAGCGCACATGCTACATGTAATGTCACAGTTGCCTGTAATACTAATACTCACTTATAAATCATGGTGTCCTCATCTTCAGACTCATTCAACATTGAAAAGGTGGACTGATCACGAAAATACGACTCTATAAGGCAAGAAGATCAAGGATTTAGGGTACTGAGCTAAAAAGAAATATGACAGGAGATAATGTGTTATGTAAGAATTGGTACCTCTATGAGAAGACAAAAATTTCAAGCCATGCCCACAAAACAGAATCTTGGTACCTCTTAGAGGTTCTTTTCAAAATTTGTGATGAGCACCCCCGTCCTTTCTATATGGGAGTTGGCGCCAGGTGCATGCCCTTTCAATAATCACAATTGATAATCTTGTAGCTCAATCAGACATGTACATACATCTTCGTTAAAACAGGTTCATGTGATGGCAACTAGCGTTGACATGGACCAGCCGCTACTAACTACTATTCCACTATTATTTTTCTCTTACTATTTATCTACCGTAATCTATTCTAATCTTCTGAATGAGAGTATACAGGAACCCTTACGGCTTACCGTAGAGAGCGTTCTTGGATGGTGAGTACACAAATGCCATGGTATACAGGTAAAAGTTGAGCAATCCAAAAAATGTCAGGAATTCTGCAGGTACTTAGAGTCAAGGAAACACATCCACTCCTAAATATTGTCATTACGTCATTACAAGGCATCTGTGTTAGAGCTGCCACCCCCCAAAAGTGACCAACATCTATATTTTTTCTTACAATATAAAAATACTGTAAAACAGAGAGCAGAGAGGAGGTAGAAATGTATTTATTATGCGGCAAACTGCACAACAACAAAAAAACAGAATTCTCATTGGTTCTGAATGGTAAATGAATTTTACAACACAGACTGCTAATGTAGACTGCTCAAGATAAAGGTTTGGTTGAATTTCTTTTTCCAAAATGTAGAGATAACCCAGCAATTTCCCTCTCTTGGGCAGACTTAGAGGGGAAGGAGGATTGGGTGGTTAGCCATCCCCCTTTTGGAGAAGCAAAACACAAAAAAACGAAAAAGATTGTGAGTATCATGGCAAATGCTCTGGACAGGTACATGTAGCTCACTGTAATTTCTACTTCATAGCATTGCTAGTATTTCTGGTTTAACAGTTTTCAATAAGGTTCCAATTCTCAAATTGTAATATTATCTGGGCATGCCCTTTTGATTCTGCAACCTGAAGCTACCAGCCACCCTCCCTTGAAAAATCCTGGATCTGCTTCTGCCTGTGTGTGTTAGCCCTAGAAAAGACATGGGGGACCACAAGAGGTAAAGAAAAGATCTTTGATCTTGCCAGGATTCAAACCCACAACTTCCAGATTAGATTGACTGTGCTACCAGGCTAGACTGGAGCAGGACATGGGGAATTATGATATAGTCAGTAGCATGTCTCAACAAAATACTGTAAGGCTTGTAGGTGACAGATCTCCTTGTGTTTTAAGAATTAGATGTAAAAAGGATATAGTTATCATAGTGTGTTTCAAGTTCTGCAACAAAGTTGTCTTGTAGCACTCCTGTTCCAAATCGAAGACCTGTGATCACCAGGCTAAAATTTTAAAGGCAAAAATAATGCATTCAACACAAAAATTAGCGAAAGTGATAAACAATGTTACGATGCAAATGTGTAGGTTAGTTTTGTATTATAAATAGATCTACAATAATATTATGTTAATAAGGTGGCAAAATACATTAGTGCCAAGAAAACAAGTAAAAGTGACTGTATTAACAAACTAACGTTAAAACAGCAGGTATAAATCTACTCTCAAACTACCATTGAACATTTTTTTCTTTAAAAAGTTCCCAAAATGATGAGCTTCCCCATGGAACAATCTTCCTGAGGAACGTTGTACTAAAAAATCCTTAGACCTCTTCAAGAGAAACATTTATTTAATAAATGGTTCTCTGCAATTTGGACTCCCACACAGTAAATACGGAAACCAGGAAATAGAAAATCTTACATGTAAGGTATTTTTCTATTATTACATGTATGTACTGATATTTTTACTGTGTTATAAAAAAAAAATAAAGTTTTCATTCATACCCAATAGTCTGGCACTCAAGGGGTTAACATGTATGGGTTATTGACCAAGTGTGAGGTCAAGATGGCTGGATATTGGCCAAGTTCTTTTTTTTCGTGTTTATGGACCTTGACTCCGTCTCGGTCCATCAACTTGCAAAAAAAGAACGAGGCCAATATCCAGCCATCTTGACCGAACAAGCTTGGTCAATAAAGGATTTATTATTTGGCTTTCGGGGAAATGTTTCTTGTGGGACATGGCGGGTAGTCCCGAGCAGGCAAGATAGCTCCATCTTGCCCGCTCGGGTAACCAATCACAGTGCAGGATTTGATTCGTCTTGCCCGCTCAGGGAGCTAGCCATATAATAATGTATGCTAAGCAACAAATTCATTTAGAACACATACCTTATGGTCAAGACAATCAGCATAAGTCCAGTGAGAAACTTGAGACGTACATCTGTAAAACATTATGTGGGTAGAAAAATTAGAGAATGATAGTACATCACAGATTTCATACCACTGAAAATTATATTCACCACAATTTAACATCTGTGGTACATGTACTTATTTAATTCTAGGAGATCAAGGGAGGGCAGTTACTGGACACAGTTTATTTTTAATTTATTTTTTCATGTTACAGCAACTTTCCAGGGATAGCCTGCCACCAAACATGCTATCCATTATGATGCTACCCAACAAATAACCCAACATGACAGGGAAACAAAGCAATGACATCTCCCTGTCGCTTCAAGCTAGAGCAAATGGAAGGACCTGAACAGACTGCATATTAAACTTGAATTCCAGATGTCCTGATATTGCAAGGTGAAATTTCAGGATTAAAATCAGTCGCAAGAATTTAAACAGTTTACTTGCTAGCAAGTTAGCATAAACTTACCAAAATAAGGCATTGCCCTCAACTCACTATATGCCCTGAACAACAGGTATACCAAGTACACCAGGTAAATAGCACCAATTGTAAAGAACAGCACCTTCAGGCCCTGTAAAATTCAATCACAAGGTTCCAAACTCAATGTCAAAATTGTCTCTTCTGTTTAGAGCGAGTCTCTGTCTTATTCTTAGGAGAGTTTGGTTTTAAAGTGACCACAAACAGCCCAAGTCTACTACCACTGTTTTGTCCCTTTTTGACCTGTTATAAATCATACCTCAATCTGTTTCAAAAATAAGTGCTGTACTAAACTAATAAATGTTTCTAATTTCGAGTTAGCTTTAATTTAAAGCTAATTTGTACATTTTCAAGTTAGCTTACGTTTGAAGGTAATTTTGTATGTCATCAACTAATATAAACATAATATTTATAATAAATACTATTTTTCAGCATTCTTGCTGACATAGATATGAAATTGCCTTTTGTTTATTATCGTACCATGAAATGGCCAATATCAATCTTGTACTGGTATGTAGGATCTTGCAACTCATTGTACCTGTCAAATGAACAATTATATTATTTTAGTGCCATCTTCATCTTTTCAGTCTATATTAGCAGAAGATTCGAAAATATAAGGGGAATAGCTAACATGCTGAAGGGCATTCTTAAGTTATAAATATATAAGCATGCAGGAACTTTAAAGAACAACATGAGACAATTTGAAGGAAATAACACAGAGTGCTTCTCATACTTTTCAAGCAAATATTTCAAAAATTCCAAGTGCTTAATATGACTAACTAAAGGTTACCATTTTCTTAAAGTTTGTAAGATGTTCAAAAATTAGCTCATAGAACTTGACCATAGAGTACCAAGTCCTGCATGATGTAGGACATGTAATCTATCAAGCTTTAGAATATGGCTGCTGTATACATAGGAACTGTGCGTGCATATCGTTCACGCAATTCATCAAAGGTTTTATGACTATTTTCAAAAGAACAAATATTTACAAACATATATAGCTGTTCAAGTTGATATGGGTTGATAGGTCCTGTTATTTTGACACTTGAAAACTTACTGCTGCCATGATGACAAGGTAAATGCCGCAACCCACAGAATGCCAACAATGAGAAGTTTTGGAAGATAAAAACTTAATCTCCTTTCACTCTGTTAAAGAAACAAACAAAAATCAAACTTGTAGTGATTGGGGGAAATGCAAAGAACTTATCCTTTAATAAATCTACTCTCTGTTACTAGATCTAAACTAATACAGCAATAAGTAAACTAGGACATTAGTAAAGCTGGATGTTTAATTATTAAACTATGCTACTTACTTTCAAGTTGTTTCAGTCATTAGTACATCCAACTCACATTAATTGGTGTAGAAACAAGTTTTATTTGTTGTCAAACAAGTTTCTGTCAAATGCTTAATTTGTCAGCAAGCTATTGGGAAGTTTCATCCAAGTGCCATGATTACTGAAGATATGATGGTTGAACAACTTTTGAAAGTAACTATGCTTGTAAAATCAGTGTGTGCTTTCTGTCACACACACACACACTTGTGTAAAAAATGTTAAATTGTGAAACGGTACTTTTTCTGAAGTGCCTAGTGAAGACAAGCCTTGTTTTTACAAACCTGCCTGATGCCATGGAAAGCACAGAGCCAAAAGAGCAGCAGAGCACAGAGGAACGACGCTTGGAACACTGAATCAAACATACTTGGCACCCAGCTATTCACCAAGAAGTTGAGTGGAAACAGTGGGTCTGTGGAACAAAAAACATGTATTTAAAAATACCAATACCTACATTACGCTATCCAATTTAATACAAAATGGAGGGCTCTTTTCCAGGTTTACAATGATAGCAGTTTGATTGGAACCTCTTCTTGGCTATCGCTGAGTGATATACTCAAAGCTAATAATTATGAAAGTTGCATGAAAGTCAACTTCCAGTTTAACACTGCTAAAACTACTTCTAAAATGCACCCTGTTCAGGGTGTTTTATTTAACACTATACATGTCTTTGGAAGAAACAAATAAAGAGTGGTCCATGAGAAAACATGTTGTAAAAAGATGTCATCAACCTAACTAAAGCTGAGAAGCTCTTGCAGTCTGAAAATTTTGACTTCTTTTACGCTTTACACACTTTAATCAACTAATTATTATGACACTAAACTTGCAACCTACCATTGTACAGCAATAAAAGTGGAAGAAGAAGTGACATCCACCTGTGCCAAGAAAAAAATAGTTTATTTAACTGTACAGTGCCAGATCCAGACTTTGAGCTATGCGGGTTTTTTTGCCCGAGCAGATCTACCACACTGTATTTACTTTTCTTACAAAAGGCTGCACTCTTTTCAGTCACTATGTACCTCTGGGAACTAAAATGAATTTTAATTATTTATCAACTTCACAAAAATTAAGCACATGAATTATGTGGATGGTGTGTGGATGTTGCATTAACTTTTCTGGTGAGAACTTGTTGAGAGCAGAAACAACCTTCACAATAATCTGTTGCTGACAAATAACTGATAAAAACGTTTTCAAACAGTAAATGTAACTGTGTGCAATATAATTAATGCAAGTGTGATCATGGTTTGACTAAATTTAATACTCATATAATCTCACTTCTCCTGTCACAACTGACTAACAAGACATGTCACTCACTTCTGTTCAATGGACCATTCACGCAGTGGAAATCTCCTCAGTGAATGAGCAAACATGCACTGCAAATTAAAAAAATGTTCAAAAATCAAAACAAATGATTTGACTTTTATTTTACAGCTGCAATTAACATTAGAGTAACAAGTTTATTGATTATTATTGATTCAAGTAATGTAGTCTGTTCTAGCTAGTTAAAAAAATGTGTCAATTTGTAGCTAAAATGCCATTTAGGATGTTCATCTAATTTACGCCTGATTAATAAGTTTATACTACCCTGATCACGTACTAACCGTCACCATGAATGTGAGCACAAGAAAAACAAATCTGAACCAGATTTCCACCTGAGTGAAGTCTGCACTGTAGTGTTTCAACTGCAATTAAAACACTTAATATTAACGTGGGAGGAGTAACCCTAATTTGAATGCAGTGGTTACATTTTATAGACAATATTGAATAACACATGGTTTATAACATCATGTGACTCTACATTTTGTACCTAGCATACTCATCTCAGACAAAGATTGGGTAAAGATTTATAGAGAAATAAACTTACTTCAAAATCAATGTCTCTGATATGTATTCCATTACGAAAGCTGAGACCATGAAATTTGACAGTTACAAGATAAGAAGGGTAGTCAAGATACCCAAGATGCAAGATCACTAACGGATTGCATTCCTAGAAAAGAAAAATGCACATATCAATTAGTTTTTGAAGTGTAAGTTAACGAGCTGTTCTTAAACTCACTAATAATCTTCATCAAGTTGAAGAAATGGTCACAAGTGTAACCATAATGAAGGTCTGGATATCCAGTCTTAACAATGATAGAGTATGCTGATTTTATTCCTCTAAACTCTCTTTATAGTTGATGGCATGTTTGAGGAGATACACACATTTCAAACACTCCAGAGAGTGTTTCCACGCAAATATCCAACACATAAAATTTGTCCAAAAAGAGATATTTTTGTCAACTCCTCTCTGGGTGTTAACTTTAGTTAGTACTAAGAGAGTATAATCTAATATTCTCCAATTAAACAACCTTTCTTCAATGTCTTTGGCATAGAGTAAAATTATTGTCCTTCTTAATAAGTCATGCAGAAAAATGAAAGCATCATTATTGTAAAAATCTTTTGTCTACAGTTTGTACTGACTGGGTCATGCTTGACATCTCAAACAACCAGAAGTTGGGGGAGTCTGAGACATCCTGATAAGTTCTCATTCACTCCACCTGCTACACCAAGAGATACCAAGAGAGTTTGCATTCAGGTTACAAGGGCCCATTGCATTGGTAGCTGGGTGCCTTTAGGCTGGTGATATGACCAGCTTTCAGTGGCCATTGGTGGTACCATCAGTAAGGTTCCACTGAAGTTAATGACACATTATTTGGTAGCACCAGCTGTTGTGCTGATAACGCCTCAACCAAACTTAGCCAGATTGGATTAAAATTACATAAGAGATAAACTTGGAGATGTGGGGACGCACCAATAAAGTATGTATGTATGTAAGACATGGAGTGTCAAAATTATAAAATTGCTAAGCAAGTCATGTAAGTCAGATCCTCACAACCAACATCTATCTACTGCACACATCACAAAGTTCTGTGTCTGCCAAAAAAAAACACTGAATTTCAAACCTTCTGGCAACGTAGCACACGAGTCCTGTTATAAGGTGTCGTTGCTATAGGGTTATAACTGCTGTCTTTAGCTTGGCCAGAAATTTTAACACTCAGATGAAAGTTGTCTGTGAAAGATGACCCTAAACAGGAAAGTAAAGTCAGATATTAATTAAATTATCTTAAATCAAATAAATATAATAGTTATTTTCTCTAAACCACCATTGACTGAAAGGGAATGCTTAGAAGCAAGAAATGCCAGCCTAGTTCTCCAGTTAGAGAGACAGAATATAATGAGGAGATGGGACACATGAATGCTTTGAAATGGTTTAGAAAATCCCCAACATTTTGTTGAATTAATGATTATTGTACTTCGAATTTGGAACAAATTCTGGTGCAACTCTTACCTGCTTCAGTTCCATTCAGTTTGATTTTGCAGAGAAGCCAAAGTTGTTGGTTAAATGTGGACAGGATTCCTGTGTTGATCTTAAAGGGACCAGTCTATGGAATCAAAAGAAAATTATTAACAGCATTCTTAATTTACCATAAGTATTGCCAAAATGTGACACTTCTAATGGTACGTACACTCCGATGTAATGTGCTTTACTAGGAAATAAAATCTTTGCTTTAATAAAGATTACCTTCTTTTCATACTATAGGTGAGAGTAATTTAATAGGTCGGAATGTACTGTTTTTATGTATTTGCAATTTTGTTCTTGTTTCAATGGGCTTTCACATCACGTCAGAAGTGTATGGGGAAATCATGTTGCAATAATTTATTTTTACTCAAGCCAAAACCATTTCAATCAACACTTTTACTGCTGCCACTGAGAGAGGAGGAGCTTCTGAGTATTACTGGCCTGAATTAAGTGCATTTTTATCATTTTATAATTTAAGCTATGTCTTCCACTGCTTTTTCTTCTACTTTCCAGTCACAAAAGCAGGGAATCTATATTGTTTCACAGCAGTTGCTGTACATTTCAAAATGAAAACCTTGCAAAGCATATTTGTCAGTAGTACAATCATTAAGAAATAGAAAACATGTACTGTGTTTCTATCGAGTTACAAAAACACAAGTGAAAGTTTGGGAGAACAAGAAATGCTGTGGAAACACAAACTGTTAGGTGAGTGTTTCCACAGCTTCTTCGAGTTCTCCCAAACTTTCACTCATGTTTCTAGAACTCGACAGAAACACAGAGAACGTGTCTTCCATTTCTTTTAGGAAATACTACAACAAAAGAAAAAAACAACTTGTTTACTTTGAACATGAAAATGTACATATTATTCTCTTTGCTCACACCATCATTACATTACAGTCCATGCTAGTTCTGTGTATCTATTAAGTTATAGAAACACAATTTTAAACCAATCAGCACGCGTATTTCCTTTGAGCTATTTTCTAATACATAATATCAGTCTGCAAGGTATTGTAATCGCAAATAACACAATACCAAAGGTAAGTACAGCCATGTCCATATCCATAACAAGTATTGTACAGTTCCAGAAAATATATCCATACCCGTTCCAAGTAAGATTAACAGAAATTCTGAGGGGGAGGCAAAAGCCAAAATTTTTAAAGGAAAGTATGAAACTTAGCTGGAATATCCAGGGGGGTGGGGTTCAAAATAAAAAACCTTCTCTGGGAGGGGTATGGATATTGTCACCCACTTTCACTTAGAGGAGAGGTGAGATGGAAGGATCTTGCTGAAGAATACAATACTAGAATGGTAGCCTGGCTTGAACTCAGACCAAGAGTAACACACTAACCATAAGCAGGCACTGTACCTTCCAAAAACAATATTTGATATAATTTTTTTTTTTTGGGTAGTGCTGTCAGTTAGACCAAGCCCATCCATCCTGCCCCTCCCCGAGGACATCCCAAAACACTTTTTAAGGCGTTTGACAACGTTTCCTGTCCCAGGGTAGGGCATTTGCTGTAACAGGTTAGCCCAGGGGTGCAGCATTGTCAAAGGCAATTTTATCTTTCAGTTTTTAAAAATACATACATCTTTTGTTGTTTATTTTTAAATTTCTTGATTGCCTTCAAAACAAAATGTATGAAAACTGAATTGATAAACCTTATTAGAATCCTGAGCTCCACAGGCACAAAAATTTTGGAATGCAAATCAAGGATGGCAGAGTTTTGACAGCTTTGCAGAGTAAGGCATTCAATTAAAAAGCGCTTGGGTGCTGTTGTAACTCACTTAAAATGTTAAACAGAGATCAGATTATGTGAATGCACTTACTGGTTTCAAAGCTGTCTTATTACTGGTAGTCAAACATACAAATATAGGCATCAAGACTAACAAAATGGAATGCCAGTTATTGCAATATTTCTTAATAAGTTTTGCTTCTTTCTGAAGGTGCATTCATGATTGCTTCCAAAGTCCAAGGAGACATGTAATTAATAAAGATCCACATTTATTAGTAAACAATTACATATATTGCTTCTATCATCAATCACTAAAATAGAATTTTGACCTTGTCCCATGGGTTCAGGGCTTTTGCAGTCTTCCCAAAGCTCCACCATGGGGATTTACACAAATATTTTAGCCCTACTTTGGGGGATATAAACCATTTTTTGAAAACAAAATTATAAATGCCCAACAAATGCCCAGGGGAAGGGGTTGGAGGGACTTGGAATTGACAGAGACATAAACAAGTAATATTAATATCAATTTTAGATACAGACCAAAAACTGTCTTTTTGGAGTAGGTAACTCTGATGCTCTTTCCGTGTGTTGAACAATTATTGACGGTCCTGCAAAAATAAAATCCTTTCCAATTACACACTCATTATTTTAACCATTGAGATACATTTATATGTATCCCACATGTGTGCATATTAAAGAGTGGTCAAAGGAATGAATTAATATTAGAAATAGAAGGAACATTTTAGCTACTGTCTGTCTGCAGGAGCAAGCTCCTGTGAGGATCAAATTTCAGGAAGCTATAAAAACTTCCTTTTTTTCCTCGCATGCTTTGTTAAGTAAGCAACATGCCAACTTAATCGAGCATGAATCAAATATTAAGCTAAGCTTTGATATGTAAAAAGTCGAGAGTGTTTAGAGCTGAATTGTAACTTTCAAATACAGTGTCTTACATGTATCTCGACATTTGTTGTAAACCTTAAGAACATAAAGAACCTTAAGAAATTTCAATTGAAAACATTTACAATCCAGCTGTTCTTTTGTTAGCAGTCCAAATATCGAGGCAACCGAAAACTTGGCGAGAAAACACGTTTTACAAAATGTACCGCGAAATATGGAACACAATATAATTAACAGAAGGTAGACTGATTTGCCATGCACCTTAATAAATTAAGGGAGTCTTTACTTATTAAGCGACTGGAAAAGACCAGCGTTTAATACAGTAACGTCTATTCTTGGTACTGCAAAGTTGCCACAAGGTAATATTCTGCACGACGGCAATTAACATTAAAATATTTAATAAATTCTTGGAAGTCAACACTACAGCGTTGTAGTTGCAAAGTACTCAAGCTTAATGCTGCCTCCAACCAAACGCTCCTATGTCGTTTAAAGCATAAAAGACAGCTTCTGACTTTACTTTAGGTGTCTAACGTGGTTTTACTCGTCACTACAGACCTGCAATTCCAATTATCACCGTGAGGAAGAAAGCCACGAAGAACGAGACGAACACCAAAACAAACTGTCGTTTCGTTAGCGTGTAAAGTCGCATTTGGACCGTCCTAACAGCAGAGAAGACAATCAGCGTAATTAGCAATGGCTGAAGAAATTTACGAACAACAAACAGAGCATTTTACTTACGATTCCATTTCCTTGGTAGCCATATTTGAGGCTCGGAAAAATTCTACTCGCCAAACACAGCCATATTAGCATTTGACGCCAAAGCCAAAGGAACAACTCATCAGTGGCTTTGTTCAAAACAATCGAGGAGAACTGGGAACGAGGAAAAATTTACATACCAGAATTTGACGAGTTGGAGGAATTTTCAAGCGAAGATTTCCGTTTCCGCCGTTACCGGTAAATACATTGTCTCTCGCCGCTGTTTATCTCCATTGTACGTATTATTTTCCATAGCTTAACCTTTTTTGCGTTGGAAGGTGGTATTTAGTGAGCGAATCAGAAAATGACCCTAGTTACAAAAGTCATTTTTTTCTCGTTTGAAAGGCACTGTCCCATGTCGGACAGGTTGTGTTCCAATGATCAGAGGTTTTGCAGAATGGTCGCAGATGGACTTGCGAGTCAGTGGAGTGGAAGTACCTCTTTCAAACTGTAACTCCGTGGCACTTAATTAAGCAAAAAAAAAAATACTCAGAATGGTAAGAATACTAAACAAGCTGAGTAGGTAGAAAAAAAATTAATCTAACTCAACTGGTGTGCGAGGTTAACGTGCAAACGTGCAGAAATCCCAGCTAGAAGCTGACTGAAGTGCAGCTGGATACTTCAGTTTGTGGGCAATATGTGGAACCGAGCGAGGAGCTGAGCTATGTCAGTTTGTTGAATTTTTTTTCTATCAAGAACCCGAGGAATACTACCAACCTTACATCGCAGGAAAAAGTGTCTCCATACTGAGCTTCCCAAACTACAGCTTTATTTCGCAACAGAGGCCCATCCAGCAAGCAGTCGCGCTCTGGAATTTTTATTAGCTATAGTTGATTCGGACTTCTCAGCTATCACGCCGGTTTTGAATCTTGGGTTCATAATTCAATCAGTTGTTAATTAGAAAGAATTACGTAGTTAGAGCTGCAAATAAATGTGCCTCCATACCGTGTTGCTCGAAAGCCGGTTAACACTAACCAAGGATAAATTAAAAGTAAACCGAAGTGTTGAATTTTGTCATATAAGAAAGTTTAACTGGAAGCTGATTATTCAAACTCAAATTTTAAGGACAAGCAATATACTATTAAACCTCGACGAAAAGTTACCAAGTCTGAAATCCGAAATTTTCGCTAGTCCTGGATTAGTTTAATCGGGCTCTGAACCCGGTCCTGAATGAGAATCACAGTTTGTATCTGTTGAGATCCTGATTAATTGAGCAATCAGCAAGTTCCATCAGCCAAACTAAAAACATGCTAACACCAGAGGCCACGCTTATCCGGCTCCGACAACCGTTTCTTACTATTAGTTGAGGTGAAGTGAAAAAGAAAACTAGTCTTGCCCTTGAGTAAAATATAAATGGAAACCCGCATGCAAGCTCGGGACGTTAATTCCGTTCCAAAACGGCAAACCGTTAAATCAGTAAAATCAAACTAAAATGAAACCCTTTAAATACCTCTCAAAAACCGAGTTCGAGGTCCGTACTCTAAGTGAAGGACCGCGTTTTTTCGTCTTCCACTTACGACCCATGCAAGCGCGAACACCAACCGGTCATTTGCTATCGCTATCTGACGCACACCGACGAGATAGTAATAGGCATCCTGACGATTTTATTAAATCCCATTGCACAGGAATGATAAGCCTACTTCTACACGTATCACACCAGCATCTTGAGAAGCAAAACCGTGCACTAGCTAGGTGCTAACGGTACTTGCTCTTGCTCTCTAACAAGAGGGTTACCCTAGCACTCCCACATTTCTTCTTTTTCATGGACATGTTTAATTTCAAGGCAGGTAAGGTTACTCTTGCGCTAGGGAAACCCTAGTTGGGCACTAGGGTTACTCTAGCGCTAGGGGAACCCTACCTGCCTTAGCTTGTAAACACGTCCATGAAAAAAAAAAAAAGAAGAAGAAGAAGAAGAAGAAGAAGAAGACGTAGACACCATGGAAATGTAACGAACTATTTTAATGCGACTATGCACTAGTACGCCTAAGGTTGCGCGGTTTCGCTAGTTGTCGATTTCGCTACGTTCAAGGTAGAAATTGGCTGTTACCTTCGGAGTCTGTGCACAACCGTGGAGAAAATTATAGGAGACTCTCTCTTCTCCCGCCTGGGTTCAACCCCCAGACCCTATATAGCGCGAGGGAGAGGGATTAGTTTTGTGCTTAAATAAAGGTTGTCTGTCTGTTTCTTGCCCAAGAACACAACACAATGTATGTCCCCGGCCAGGGCTCGAACCCGGACTGCTGGGGTGCTTTCCATTGTGCCAGAGAGACCGGTCACAGACCAGTGCGAATACCCACGGAAAACGGAACGACATTTCCCGATCAAACCGGGCTAACCAAGAGGAATGGCTCTTACCATTTTTAATTCTTTTTCAGGATGCCCTACATAAGTGAAGTGAAGTAGGGCAATGAACCGCTTTGTCAAAAATGGAACGGCGAATTTCGGTCAGAATATTCAAATCGAAATAAGTGGACCACCTCCAGAGGTGATCCCGAACATTCCGGCCGGAAGAAACCAAAACGGACCCTTCCATTCGACTTCCGACCGAATATTTCCGGAATCTTTGGGATAATGGAAAGGACCCCTGGATTCGGAGACGAGCGCAATGCCATCTCGCTTCCAAATGAATCTAAACGAATTACTTAAAAACGGTTGACAGATTGGATTCCACTGCGATATTATGTCTGCGTTAAATATATGAATAAAAAGCTGATTGGATTGTTCTGCGAAAATAGGTCACCGACAAATATTTTGTTTGGCCGGAAAGTATTAACAGTGATGCAATAGTAAGCGACCAAAACGGGAGACTTATTAGCAAATATAAGTCTGAAAATGTATTTTCTGATGTTTACATTGGGAGAGAGTTTACATGGTTTGATTACGGCTGAGATTTGAGTACAATATCGCGAAATAATCATAAACCAGCAAACGTGTTGTCGTAATCTAAGGAAGATAGTTCCGTTTTGGAAACCATATCGGTGTTTTTATGAAATTACCGTGTTGAAATATTGGTCTCCTGATCACACGATAAATTAAATTTACATTCTTTATTAGGTACTTACACTAATTTTCTCTGCTGACAAATTTTGTAATATGTTTGAGTGAACAAATTGCTACCACTTCCTAACACCTCGAGAAATGGAAGTGATACGACGGACAATATCAGATTTGCATGTCTTGATTGACACGATGTAAACGGTGGCACAAATGTAATCGATCGATAATTCGTTGTCTCAGTGTGTGATTAGACATATTTTAATGTTAGATTTATCATCTGATTCGAAAAATCGATTTCGATATCAGATAGTATTTTGTAATAAATTCGTTATATACACGAAATATTGAACAGTATCACCTCGTGGTAATAACTCCTGGAGTGATTTTAGAATTGCACCAATCAAATCCCAAAATTAATGCGCTCAGTACGCACATGAATATTGCATGTGAAATTGTTACCTGTTAATATTTAGGATTTGCTTTTTGTCTTCAGACAAAAAAAGATTCTTGACAAAGTTATAGGCGACACAAGTTTCTCCGAAAAAATTCCGAAATCTCCCAAGAAAAGTCGAATGCATGACCTTCCTTCTGAGCTAAACGAAGAAGAGTCTTTGCGGTCTGCTTAGATTTGCTTTGCCGATGCTAAATGAGAAAGCGAGAAAAGCAATTATTCTTTAAGCTTAGTAGAACTATTTTTGAAGTAGCTTATCCATAGAAAGGGACAGGAAATGGCGTGTAGATGCGACATCGCGTGGCCGCGAACATCTGGTTGAAGACGTTGTTTACAGACATTGAAGGTTAATGTGGCTTTCAGTTTGCGCACATTTAAACACGTTTTCCATTGGTCCATTTATTTTTAACCAGGTTTATCCAAAAATTGAATCGCTAGATCTGGCTGGAGAAGCACTAAATCGACATTCCGGCTATCAATGGTTTGTTGTCAAGGGTTTTAGTGACAGTTGTCAGGCATGGTCGAATGACGTATAGTTTCACAGAGATATCAAGAAAGAAAAACACAATCGATCCGAGCGAAAAACAATCGATTGATGATCGTTTTACCGCGTACACTTATTAAACTTGAGGCAATGAAATACAAACAAGGTGATAAACTGGAAAAAAATGAATTAGATATCACGCGACAAATCTGACAGTCGATGTGTTGATTCTGTCAATAACCTGTTGCTATGGGAACTGTTTGATTTGACATCGCGCATGCGTTCTTTTCATGCCGTGATTGGTGGATTTTCGTCACGTGCAGTAATTCACGTTGTTATTCCACCTGGCCCTTTGTCATTTCTCTCCGCCAGATTATCACGCTGAATTTCACCCAATTTCCACAATTTATTTCCAAACTTACAAGTTGAACTAGGTTCGTCCAAAAGTGGCCAGATAGGTCAAGTAGCATCTGGAATTTGATAATGTCGGGTTCTTATCCGCCACCAATTCTTCCTAAGCCGCTGAGCGGCCTTCCTTTCATAGCACCTAAACCAAACATGCCAGGTCAGGGTATGAATGGAAGTCATTCAGACTCTAACAACCTGGAGGAAAAACGAGAAAACGGAGCTAGTCCAAGCTCCAGATCAAATGCCGAATTGTTCGACCTCGAAGCAGAGATGGCCAGAAGGACAAGTCAGCGCAAGCGGCCTAAAGTATGTTTCACAGTTTGTCTTCATTATCTAAATTTGTCATTCATGATATATTATGCAACATTCTTCAATTTATTGTCAACAATACGGTTTTGTGTTCAGCCTCAGCTCTTTTCTTAAAGTTTCAGATGAAGTCTTTCCAGGGCACGGAAGACACATGTGAAGCCTTAAGAATCGAATTTTTCAAGTAATTTTGCCGTGACCTCCGATCCGGGATGCTAAATTTATGCAACACTAAACGAACTGTCAAGAAAGCCCTGAATGCTAACTGGTTAGTGGTTCGTCAAAGTCACATGGGCTTTGTTTCAAAGAATTATTTAATAGCTTCCCCGTTCACATTTAGCCGAATTTCCTTAACCCTGAAAGCGCAAAAAGCTGGAGAAACTCTGGAATCCCTCCGTTCCGGTTCACATGGGAGCAAATGAGAGTTTTTCGACAAGATTTTAGA